GATAGCGACAGGTTTATGTTACAATCACTAATACGTATTTTAATATGGCAGGACGCCTCTATGACATAAGTCATTATGTTATATACCTCTCTTTGTTTGAATAAAGTTATGAATTATATGAAATAACTTTTAAAGACTATTACAAAATTAGATACCTATGGAGTCGATAATTACTACTCTTATAAAGATATAAACAACAATAATAATAATGAAAAAATATATAAAAACAAACAACACTCGTAAAATGTCGTATACAAAAATGTCTATAAACAAAAAGAAAAGGTAAATGAAACACACACGAATTTAAAAGTTATATATACATGTAAAATGTCATAATATCCAAAAATGAAAAGGTCAATGAAAAACACACGAACTTGAAAGTTATATACACACAATCGGTCACACACGCGAGTCAATGAAAAAAAAAAAACCAAACGAGATCCTGGAATCACAAACACAGACTACTCTTATTATTCACATAAATGGTGGAATCGCGAACACAAACTACTGTAATTATCTTCTTAGACCGATTATTTGGTGGAATCGCGAACACAAACTACTGTAATTATCTTCTTAGACCGCTACTGCACTGTCGTAGCCAACTGTAGGGGTGGGGTACATATGATGCCCTTCCTCGTTCCAGTAATGTTGAGGGGTCAGAATATTCCCTGCTCCGTTTAGTTCAGCTCTTCTTATTGACCGGTAGTCTTTTCATTTTCCATACCGTCTGGCAAAACGGCGTGTTATGACATGTGCATATGAAGAGTATTAACTGCCACCCGTGCCGAAGTTTTATCATCTGCTTATCATATATATCATGGAGTGAACTTAATTAATAGTTAATCAAATTAGCAAGTGGAACAGATTTGACTTTAGATATCAATCTAACGATATTTACAGTATTATTTACATGGATACAATTGAAATTAGGGAGTCATATTGTTTTATCTCAAGAATAATGAATGATCTGAACACATTTAACCAATCTTAAATAAGATATTTTTGAAAGAACTAACGGTTTATCTCTATAATTTTTAAACACAACACAAAATAAGACGATACGTTCGCTCTTAAATCCGAGCACAACCCTCCTGGGGTTAAACCACTTAACATAAACTTCTCCCGTTACATGTCGGGGCATTTCCCAATAAAACTTTGGGGTATTACAAATAAAACTCTCTACCGTAAATATCGGGTCTCCCGTAAACCTCGGGGCATAAATATATATAGACAAAATAACAACAAAAAAAATTATAAGAGATAAAACCGTTAATACCGTGTGATTAAAGAGCTATATCTCTCAATTAGGATACGCTTAACTCTATTCCAGATAATTAAACAATCATAAAACATTTCACTTCGCAGTTATTAGCCTGATAATACTTAGCTACTACTAAATTTAAAAGCCAAAATATGTGTTCAAAACAACCAATGATAATTCATAATCTTTTAAAAACAACATGACGCATTTTAAAACAAATAATATATATACAATTTTGTTTTAGTCATTTTCCTACAAATAGTTAAGGACTGTTCCACTACTAGCTTGAACGGCAATATATTAAATCTAGTAACTACACCATGATATTTAATAAAGCGTGATGATAAACTGCTGATTTCCCAGTTAAATTATAATACATTATAGCACAATGTCATTATTAACCGGCCATGGTAGGATTAGAAAAAGACTTACCCGTGTAGACTAATATCTGTGGCCTGTGATCTTCTAGTGGTATACGACTTTGCACGTTGCTCTGGTCTACGGCGCCAATTAATATGTGACAGTATTGGTTCTTAAATCGAGTTCTTGGATGACAACACTGGTATATACATCTAATAATAGTTTTATTCTGCTTCTTACAATATTAGGTACAAACATCGTGATGTAAACGACCGTAGAACTAACTATATGGAAGGAGTCATGACTTAATTAGCTTGGCTTAGCATGAGTGTGCTAACTCCAGAAGCTGTCGTCTCGTACCGTCTCGTGCCAAGGCGCCCATGGCCTTAGCTCAGTCCTGGCCGGACCTAACTCCTAGCCCTGCCTGGACCTCTCTCGTATCCATTAGGTACCTTGATCTAGGCACCCGCCTAGCATGGCCTCCTGGACCCGCCTGAAGATTCGTTTCTGTTCTGAGTTTATAAACGTATTCGAGACAAAGGAGCTCATTAGACACCTGTCTAATGTATCAAGCATCATATGAAGGTTTAACATTCAATATAGTTTATCAGACAAAGAAAGTTAGATAAGACATGCCAACAACAAGTTATAGTTACGCAATGACATAAGGAATACTACCAAGATCTCCAGCCGGGTATTGATAGCGACAGGTTTATGTTACAATCACTAATACGTATTTTAATATGGCAGGACGCCTCTATGACATAAGTCATTATGTTATATACGGTATTCGGTATACGTTTAGAGGTATACGCGAATACTTGTGTTCGAACAACAGGAATTTGCTTGTCGGTTTACATCGGACTATACGCGTATAGGGGCACGCTATACGCGTATAGATGGTATCGTGCATGTTCGTTCTTTTTTCGGTGTATATACTTGCTTCAGGGAGGAGTAAATTCCATGAGGTGAGTAGAAAATGGGGTATTTGTATTGTAAAAAGTTCGAATCAAAAGTTCTGAACATTGATGGGCACGTCTCTAGGCATAGATTCTCCTGAACAGTAATTTCCAGTTAACTGCCCGAGCCCAATATTTGAATAAGCCGACACAAAGCCTGACCTACACGCCACCAAGCGGCCATGGGATGTGGCCACGAATTTGACCAATTGTGTTCTGATTGAATCCTGATGGGTACCAAAATCGGTGGGGAAAATAACTGACTAGGCCAGTATACCTACGTATAGTATATCAATCTGTTTTACAGAGGATTGCGAAAGTTTTCTAATATCTCTGTAAAAGATGACTACCTTTAACACGTGACGTCTCATCACTCGGCGTCAATCACTGGCTCAATGGCGTGTGCATTGTTTACATAAGACGTTACTAGTTCGGGCGGAATGGAGTCTTTTACTCATTTTAATACCCATTTACACTAAATAGGAAATAATTTTTACCTAATAATAATAATGTTTTAGAATTTAATTTGTCGGAGGAAAAAAGTTAATATGTGTGGCTCATTAAGTCGCATCGATGTCATGCTTATCAGTGATTGTCGCGGCCTAGCGAATATTCACTTCTGATCTGCAGTGTGATAGTATATGCCGTGTAAACCGCCGCGTCCGTTTTTTGTTACTTTATCAACTTATGTTGATATTTTCTTATATCAAAAAAGACTGGTAGGAGAATCTCTATTTATATTCAAATTCGTAAAAAATAAATTTGTAATTTCTAATCTATTATGTTCGATGAAATACGCGAACAGTCCAAACTGAACGATAATTTTTTACGCCGAATTAGCCCATCCTTCATGTTTTTTAATTATTAGTTTTGTAAATCAGTCATTAGTATATACTGCCGCATTGTACCATATTTTATACTGCTGCATTGTACCATATTTTAAAACGTTCATTGTGTGGGATATTAGGATCCCACATTTTCAAGGACACATAACAACATCAATATGAATTGAAATGGGCCAATATTCAATTTTAATTTGTGTTTTTAATTTCGAATATTATGGAAAATATTGAGTTAGAGACTTGGCTCCTTTAAAATACAGAATACGCTTTTCAATAAAAAAAAAAATGCAGTGTAAGAGAGTCATGTATTGGTTATTATGCACATTACACTTGTCCGTTCTGCATTTTACATTATAGACAAGTGTATTTCGGACTTTGCATAATAGAACATGTAATAGAATTACGGCGAACCTCATTTGCATACGAACAAAAGTGTAGATTAGGACGGAAATCAATCTACAAGGTTAAGGTCAGTGACTCAGTAGACGAGGGCGTTACTCTGTTCTCTGGTTGGAGGCAGACCACCATTTCATTCTGCGCGTGAATTATACCTGGGAATTTTATTTTGCACCATGAAATAGTTACATTTAAGATTTCAAGGATTTCTAAAACTTGTTTTTTTTTTTATGGCTAAACATAGAATCCTATGAAATGTCTTCCTAATGAGTCCACACCCCTAATGAAATGGATATATTGTAGATGTGTTTTTTTGCAGCTAAATGTTCTTCATTTTTAATGTAAATCTATCATTTGTGGAGATCTTGTAATATATGGCACTTACAGAGCAATAAAATATAAATTAATAGCCTTTCCATTCCCCTTTTATGCTATGAATTATGTCATAACTGATTTTTATATTGTGGACGTTCCAGAGGCTAAAGTTAATATCCGATTGACTTTAAATTTAGACGAAGACGGCTATTGATTTTCAGCGATTTCCGATAATTACTGCCAGAGTTATGGCCCTTGATCACTTCAAAAATCTTGTGGACGTTCTAGAGGCCAAAGTTAATATCCGATTGACTTTAAATTTAGACACAGTGTTTGAGGTCACGGGACGAAGAATCTTATTGATTTTCAACGATTTCCGATAATTACTGCCAAAGTTATGGCCCTTGATCACTTTGAAAAATCTTGTGACGCTCTAGAGGCTCAAGTTATCATCCGATTGACTTCAGATTGATACACATAGTTTAAGATCTTGAGACGAACAAGTATATTGATTTTCAATGATTTTTTATGACTTGAACAGCTATAAATCCATGATATTAAAAGTTTTGTATACTAAACGTTAGCATGGGGCAGAACTTTATAAAAACCAAACAAATTCTAATGGTTTTTTGATTATTACTTCATAAGTTGTTACTCTTAATCAGATTTTAGTGTATTATAAATTTTTCATTACCGAAAAAAGTAAAAATATGCGACAACACTTGTTGACTGCACGGACTATTTAGCTGCTGTGGACGTATGTTTCGTTGCCTGGCAACATATCTTTTCACTTCATGTTGTCAGGAAGTGGATGGCATATGTTTATTTGTTACCGTGATTTATTGATAAATACCTATACCTTTACAGCAAAATGAAAACCCCAAAAGATGACGGCAAAGACAGCATCGAAGAGGAGCCAACTCGGATGAAATGGAAGAGAAGTCTTGATTTTCTACTATCGCTGATCGGATATGGTGTGGGAATTGGCAATATCTGGAGGTTTCCTTATTTATGTGCTAAAAACGGCGGAGGTGATATTTATATTTGCTAGATATTTATGTTTTATTTTTTGTTTCTGTAGAGGGTTCATACAAAAAACACATTAATCCTGTATTTAATCTTTGTGGAAAACAAAGTATACCATTTATTTGAGCTATAAGATATTGACTCTTTCCGGAAAACTGAGTTTACTATATCTAACAATGAAGAGCAATTCTTGTTTATTGAAATATTGATATGAATATTTTAATTTTTCATCCGTTTTTCTAATAGTCGGTATTCAAGATTAAGTTTACCATGTCAGTGAAAGGAGAGCAATATGTGGTTATTGAAAATCAAAGGGCGTGTGGCTCTATTTTTTGGAATCTTAAAGTAGACCAAAACGTATCTAATAGATTAATATAACATCAATGTATAATGTGATTTATATTCATTTTAAAAAAAAACAAAAAAAAAAAAAACCAATGTAAATTACACGCTGTGTCTTAAATATTGGATATCTGAATCCCATATGTTCACGGCAAGATAACAACTACAATGATGAATGGAATGGACCAATTTGTGTTTTTAGTTTCGAATATTATGGAAAATATTGAGTTACAGATGGATCTCCTTTAATAAGAATATTTTAATTTTCAGCCGTGTTTCTAATACCCTATGCAATATTCATGATTTTGTTGGCTTTACCACTGACGTTTTTAGAATTATCTATTGGGCAGTATTCCGGTAAAAGTACCTTCGACGTATGGGATATTTGTCCTGCCTTCAGAGGTAAGATTGGGTGTGAATACTAATAAATTTTAAAAAAATACATTTCTTTTACGAGTACACACCAATACTAACAAGGACAGTATCTAGCACATTGGCGTGTACGTAAAAGAGCCCTTTGTCATAGTACACGATATGGCGTATCCCCGTATTAGCCCAGTCAGTGCCGAAAAGTAGGATGTTAAACCCCATTTCTCATTTCAATATCTAGGAATAATCGTGTTGTGTCCTAATAAACGTCAAGGACGTTTTAGTGGCTCTTCCGCATTATGAGAGAAAACAAAAAGCGCTGTTCAAATGCTCAAATTCTAAAAAATCTGTTCACTCACTATACCCTGTTAAATGTACTTGATTGAATTAAGAGGTAAAAAATGACTATTTCAGGACTGGGTGTGGCTGCAACTTTTCTTTCTGGAATTAACAGTATGTACTTCAACATGATCCTTGCCTGGATTTTATACTATCTGGTTCATTCCTTCATGTCACCCTTACCATGGACGACCTGTGATAATTGGTGGAATACAGACAACTGTTTGTTACAAACCTACGTAACCGCAAATTCTACTTTAAACGAAACGAATATAATTTATCAACCTGGAATAAATGAGACTTCTGGACTTCACCAAGCGTATGGATATGGGATAAATCTAACTACGGATTCCATGACAAACGACACAAATAGTTCTATAAAACATACAACTGCTTCTGAAGAATTCTGGAAGTAAGTATAATGAAATCATATGTATATATTAGAATATGTAATACATTTTGGGAATCCGCGGTTTTTTGTTTAGCGTTTTATATTTTGGTGCTAAGATAGTGTTTTCATTTAGCCAATCAAATGACTCATCCATATTTTATGCTTTAATTTTTTTTTGCTTAAAATCAAATCAACAATATGCTGAGAACTAATGCGGATATGTATTAAGAATGGGTACTAGTCTATAAAATTCTGCGACTGTAATTTTACGATGCTGCCACCTTTCCAGGCATACTCAAACATTCATCATTTAGAGATCTTTGAAGGGAATAAAAGGGCCTCTCTTTATTTATTCTCCCATTTTGTTTGTAACATCAATTGTCAGGTGTAAGAAGTCCCCATACAAATGAGAAGTTGTACCAGATGTTCCAGAAAAAGTAACATAGCAGATATTAATATCACATTGATGCCCTTTTGTATGCATGTATTGACATGAACCTTTTTGTTCAGCCACAATGTGTTGCGGAAATCTGAAGGATTAGATGACATCGGTGCTATGCAATGGCACCTGGTTGTAGCATTGGTTGTTGGATGGTTGATGATTTTTCTCTGTATAGTAAAAGGAGTGAAATCGGTCGGAAAGGTTTGTTGGGCAGCTTACATCACCTACTAATATCTTGCAGTCCAATGATAACGTTCATAGGGTTTAAACATGGGGGTGTTTTTTTAAATTAAATGTTGTTGCTATATAGCTTTAAAGATGGATTTTAAAAATAAAAAAAAAACTGTTGTTGCTTTATCCACCTTTAAGATTTGTTTTGTGTACAATTTTATGGGTATGATTGAATTAATGCACAATAAAGCTTTTGCGATCATTATTTTAAAGTTTTAGTTTTTGTAGAGATGATGCTGACCTAAAGTTATATAATCGAGCTCTTGCTTGATATATAATATATTGTTATTGTAGCATTGATCTCAACATAGTCCTTCTTTATTGTAGGTTGTGTATGTGACAGCAACATTGCCATATGTATTTATTACTATTATATTGGTTAGAGCTGTTACACTACCTGGTGCCATAGATGGTATCAAATTCTACATTATTCCAGATTTCAGTAAACTGGCTAACATTCAGGTATCTTGAACATTTATATGGAGAGAGAGAGAGAGAGAGAGAGAGAGAGTTTAACGTTCACTCGACACAGACTAGGACATTTCGGGGCTACCTTATGGTTTAATTTTATTTCAATAATTCGCTTTAGCAGTGGTAGGAAACCGGAGGACCCGGAGAAAACCCACGAGGTTAGACAGGCAACCCTACACCTTGTCACGTACAACCGGGGATTCGAAACCACGCCAGTTGACTCAATGACAGGCCGTATGATACCAGCGCGCACGTGCTAACCATTCGGCCACCCCCACCCCTCCGGGTGGTGTCTATCTGTATGTCTCCAGTGGCCCCCGTTTCACCAACATTTGCTTCATGATCAAATCATCACCAAAGCTTGTGGTTATACCAGCATGGATGTCTCGTAGTGTCAACTGGAAAAGAAGTGGAATAGGTTTATCACTTGAATCATTATAGGGAACGAACAACAAACGAACGATAACTCAACGAAAACCTCAGCATAACATTGCTTCTTCCATGTTTCTGTAGTTAATGTACCCCAACATCTCATTTTGTAGGTATGGATTCAGGCACTGATGCAGATTTTCTTTTCGATGGGAATCGGATGGGGTGGTTTCACCACTATGGCCAGTTATAATAAATTTAATAATAATATATTAAGGTAAGAAACAGCTGGGTGTTTTATTAGAATGGAGCCAAATATCCCCAGTACTTCCTGTCTCCTCTTATTTGATCAGATGCATTTGTCTTAAAAAAGGTTTTCATTGGCACATTTCACTTTTAAGACTCAATGTTTTTATTTATTAGCTGAAATCTGAAATATACCATATAATTTTACCGTTTAGCAAAATGACGACCGCATTCGTTTAAAGTTACAATTTCATATTTTCTAAGAAAGTCAAAACATAATTATTTCTATGACTTTTGCTCAATAGGTTGTCAACTCACTATTATACGACCATAGGTGTCATTCTCACACTTAAAACTCATTTACACCGGAAATAATAACACAATTACCTCCCAATCACCCCCCTTGTTTTCTATTCTCCACCATGGAGTAGCTATCCTCAAACGTTTGAATTTGAAGAGGAAAATGATATTTTTGCCAATTTCTCAACTGACAATAGTGAATTATAGGATTAATAGGATTATTCTTTAACAAAGTAGGACTGTTTATAGATACCATCTATTTTAAGGCTTTATTGTAATAAATTTTAAAAATATAACGTAAAAATATGAAATTGCAACTTTAAGTTTATATGAATAAGACGTGAGCGTTGCAGTATATTTCAATAACTTGATAATCTGATGTAAAATATCCTAGTGAATATTTCCAATAATAAATTAGGGGCCTAGCGGTATTCTACTGGCCTCCCGGGCAATATTTTCCTTGTTCGAATCAGGATATTTCAAAGCCGTTTCTTTTTCGTGTCAGTAATACATTAGAATATGTTCCATGTCAGGAATAGTACAATATAAAATGTCCCATGTCAGTAATACCATAGAATATGTCCCGTGTCACTAATACACCTACGGAAAAATGTCCCTTTTCCATGGGTTTAATAGGAACAGACAGCCGTGGTTGAAAGTCAGGCTTATTTTGTTTTCACACAAAACTAAATACATATTAATAACAATTATAATTTTGTCGTTGTACTGAGAAAAGACTGTTTTGTATTTTATAGGGATTCAATTATTTACTGTATTGTTGGAGAGGGGACTAGTTTCTATGCAGGGTTTGTTGTGTTTTCTGTACTAGGATTTATGTCCCATAAAACCGGTTCAAACGTCTCGGATATAGTGAAAACAGGTTAGTACACATTTGTGCACTCTCATTGTAAACATATTTTTCTCGTATGGTTAAAGGGGACAACACGTCAAAATAAAAATCAAACCTTTCATAAACCGAGATTGAAATTGCCTGTTTTGTCACGTTTGTTGCCTGAAAATTATTTTCTTTATTGGGCTACTTTCAGCATGTTCTCCTATTTTACCCCCACCCCGAGGCCTGCTATGTTTCAGGAGTTCTTGCAGCCACCCGCTGAAATTGTTTCGTCGAAGTCTTCAAGTTTAATAATGAGAGTAGAACGGACGACATTTATGCATGTTATGATATTAATGAAACTAAACCTCTAATTCAGTGTCATCCATAATATTCAAAATTAAAAACATAAATTAGGATTAGACGTTAGCCCATTTGAATCGATATTTATGTTGTGATATTATTGTGAAAACATTTACAAAATGAATGTATTAAGATTGGTGGGCTTTAAACTGCATTTCTTGTATATACTGTCACGTAGATGTATTTATCACGGGCCACTGGCAAACTGTGAAAACTGTCACCTGAATAAAGGTGACTGAAAGATGTGCTCACAAATAATGCAAGTATAATTGGAGGATCTAGAGCACAAGTGATCTAACAACCAACTAAAACGGTTGGTAGTTAGATCACTTGTGCTCTAGACCGTCCAATTATACATAGATTTGCAAGAACAGATTTGACGCATAATAGAATTATAAAACGTTTAAAGAAGCTAAATCGCTAATATTTTGGACCTAGAGTCGCAACACATATAATAATGTAATATGAATTTATATAAACTGTTTTACATTCAATCGTGTCCGTTTTACTGTAAATTGTCATCAGTTATGTTCGCCGAAATACGCCAGAAGTCTCAACCGCAAGTCAGTTTCTAGCGTCTGGTTATTCCAGTCAACACCGATATTATTTATTGCGCATGCTCTCCAAATAAGAATATGATATGACTTGGGGAATATGTCTAGCCTCATTCTTTGAGCACCTTGTTACAAGTGGCGCTGAAACGCATTATGGTACACGATTCGTGAACCAATGGTAAAATGTTTATTTTGTCTTAAATATTGGATATCAGAAGCCCATCTTTTCCAGGTAAGATCACAACACCAATGCTGATTTAAATTGCAAAACAATTCGTGTTTTCAATGTCGAAGATATTGGATGATATTGAGTTACGGACTTAGCTACTTTAACATCACAAGCATTCAAACCATTATATTATTGCGGAGTTCTAAACGTATAAAGTATTCAGGTTTTTTGTATATTATAAAGAAGTGTTACATCGGTAGTGATATCTGGTTTCATAGCATTATGTAGTATACAACAACAATATTTTATTAAATAAAGGCATGTTACTCAGTCTGTATTAACAGGGGAGTAAGTTAATACTTTACATAATATAGAAAATCATAACTAAATAACATTTTTTTTATATATTCAATGTACATGAAATAGGAAGTCAGGCGGTCCGAATAATCTGTTTCATACATTAAAGGAGGCCAATCTCTAACTCGGTATCATCCACAGCCATTGACAATGCAAACACGACTTATTGGTTAATTTAAATCAACATTAATGTTGTTATCTTTCCGTGAAAAGTTGAGCTTTTGATATCTAATATTTAGGACAAAATGAAAACTTTAAAACTGGCACTCGAATGCTTTCTAGCGCCATTTGTAATAAAGCGACTCGATGAACGAGGCTTAACATATCCCACGGGAGAATATTATCGGTGTAGACTTGAACAATCAGACGCCAAAGACTGCCATTTAATTTGGACTCTTTGCGTATTTCGGCGAACATAACTGATTAGAATTTACAGTAAAAAACAGAAACAATTGAATGTAAATCAGTTTATACATCCATATTACATATGCGCTGCGACCCATTTGTGTCAATTTCTAGATGTCAAAGAGATTTAGCCCCTTTAAGACATTCCCAATACAAATTCCGTTAATAAATTGTAATAAAAAATGTATGTATCCAATACGTCTCTGTGGGTCAGTGATTCTTAACCCGGGTGTGTCGCGAGAGCTTCCTAAGTGTGCTACGAAATTTTGAACGGCGCACTAAGAAAATGTGAAAAACCACGTGATCCCAATTGAGTATTCACTGGTGTCTGCTGATAAGTTCATAGCTGTGTTTTTTTTTATTTAGTTTGAGGCATTCTACATGTATGTGTCTACGGTTGTATTCCGTCTGACTTACCAGGTTTTATTTTAAAGATTTAAATTGCCAAACAAAAAAGGTTGAGAACCACTGCTGTAGGTGATGTTTTGGGAATAATATTTAAATTAAACTAAATACTAAATTTTAAACAATTAAACAGAACGAATTCTTTTAAACAACAGAATATATATGGTTTAAATGGTCTACGTACATCACGTACATTATGGAAATAATAAATAGGATATATTTTATCTATATGTGGCGCTTTCCTAAAACACAAATACGGTATGTTTATTTATATGACATGTTCATAATACACAAAATGCGTACATTTCTTTCAATAATAATTAGGATGACATCCTCCGTGTGTGGCGCTTTCCTAAAACACAAAAGGTGTACTTTTCTTAAAATAATAATTAGGATATATTTATCCATATGTGACACTTTACTGAAACACAAAAGGCGTGTACTGTTTTGAAAAATAATAAATACGGTATGTTATTTAATTCCTAAAACACGAAAGGTGTATTTTCCTTTAAATAGTAATTGGGGAATATTTATGTAGATTTAACACTTTCCTAAAACACAAAAGACGTATTTTTCTTTAAATAGTAAATATGGTATGTTATTTAATTCCTAAAACACAAAAGACGTATTTTTCTTTAAATAGTAAATATGGTATGTTATTTAATTCCTAAAACACAAAAGGCGTACTTTCCTTTAAATATTAGATAAGGTCAGTTTATGTGACATTTACTTGAAACACAAAATGCGTACTTTCCTTTAATTAGTAAATAGGGTATTTTTTTTCCTAAAACATAAAGGCGTAGCCTACTAAAAATTTTTAGTAAATATGGTACGTTATTTAATTCCTAAAACACGAAAGGCGTATTTTCCTTTAAACACTTGGGGTATATTTATCTAGATTTGACACTTTAAAAAAATAAATAAATAAATAATGTTACGGGTATTTAATTTCTAAGACACAAAAGGTGTGCTTTCCTTTAAATAATAAGTAATGTATATGTGTATCTATACGTGCCACTTTCCTAAAACACACCTTGGACATAATTTTTCTAATATTTATAATTCTATTTACAGGCCCAGGGTTAGCGTTTATTACCTATCCGGAAGCCTTGAGCCAGTTGCCACTTCCACAGTTATGGGCAGTTCTCTTCTTTCTCATGCTGTTGTTTGTAGCCATCGATTCAATGGTAATCTTCTTTTAAACTTGGAGTTTTTTTATGTACAAAATGTCCTCTCTAATAATACTCATCATTGCCATTCAATGTTATCACTGTCTTGAACACCCAGTTTCATTGCCAATAACTGTCAGTAATAGTCACGTTTCTCATGTAATAAAATACAAAAGTATTCCTTATATATTTGTCCTCATTCAGTGTTTTAATCTTTAACATCTCAAACATATATATATATATATATATATAATTTAAACAATTTATTGACTGTTGTCGTTATAAATGTAAATGTCATTTAAATATACATTAAGTAAGGGTTAGATGAAGAGCTGGTCGTTATTGCTATAACAGTTCAAAATAGATAGTGCAAAATGAATATATTGAAAATATCATTCAAATTACTTTATTCTGAGCCAAGTTATCACTGTTTATAGTTGTGACAAGATGTGTGCATTAATTGTGTATTATCATAACCACGGTACTGGTATATTCGATCCTTAGCCTCGCTTCCCCATTTATAAATTAAATAATTAAATGGCCGAACCGTTTTAATCTAGTTAATATCGAGAGTTGATTATGGTCTTGTCATGTTAATAGATGTCTAATTAATAATTTATACAACATTTAACGTCGAGAGAAAGATCTGCAATAGGCAAATTTAGCTCTTGAATAATGTATCTTTAAAAGTACAGTGTTATACGCCCACATATTCATATGGACGTAAATTGTCGTTGCCCCAGTCCCCCGTCCACAGTTTGTTTATGCACAGTCTACAGGTCACAATTTTCATCCGATTTTGACGAAACTTGAAATATGGGTTTATCTCTCAACGATCTCAGGTTCTTTCGAAATTGGCCTGCATCGAATCATAATTTCATGGATTATTGCCCCTGATTGTACGAAAAATCACGTTTTTAGCTTCTTGGACACTATAGATGTCACACCTTTTATCTGATTTTGATAAAACTTTTGAGTCCCTGTCGATATTCGCACATGTCGGACTGCAACGTCCTGGGTTATGTCCCCTGATGATTGTACGAAAAATCTTGTTTTTGGCTTGTGGACCCTCTAGAGGTTACAACTTTTATCCGATTTTAATGAAACTTAAAATATATGCTTATATCCCCAAGATATTGGTTTATTTTGATATTGTCGCATGATTGTCGGACTGTAACATCCTGGATTATGGCCCCTGATTGTACGAAAAATCGCTGTTTTCGTTTTTCTCTGTCACCCATCTCTTGCAAAATGTGGGCGTATCTTGCATGGCAACCGCTTGTTTAATATTTTGATTTAATGTTTCTTTTATCTTTCAGTTTGTAAGTGTTGAAGTATGTGTAACAACTGTAACTGATTTAATACCAAATATCAAATCTAGAGCACGATTAATGGTTACAGCTGGCACCTGTTTCTTAATGTTTCTATTTACATTGATTTATACCACACAGGTAAATATACATGATGGTATTCATTAAAGGGCCAATCTGAATTATATTTTGGAGAATAAAACTGCTTAATTCTGTGTTAAAAGCCCCTAAAATCCCCTACCATAGGGCAGAGCAACTAACTCAGTATACATGATACGTTTTCAAACAACTTACTTCTGGAAATGGAGACCGGTGTCTCAAGCTGTATTATACGGTATCGGATAAAACCAGACTTTTATTTTATAAAAAATAACGTGTTCAGCACGTGGGTGATACACTGTATAGACGTCTAAAGGAACAGCAATAGATTATTAGGTCACCCAACGAAAAAACTGACCCGAAATCTTAAAAAGGTTACGTGTCCGGATAAGCGATGTAGGCGTTTACGTCCAAACGACTCTATATTGTGAGCTGAAATTTTGAGACAAGGTAAATACATCATTCCTCTATATTTTGGCGTTTAAATTTCATACGTACATGAACTTCTATTTCTGAGACTCTTTTAAAATCGGAATGGTCCCTTTAAACCTTACGCGTACCGTTTGTCCTGTTTTGTTGAAATATTAATTGTCAGTTAAATTGACACTGTGTATTTGTTAAGATGTCAGATTTCATTAACAGACATTTTTATTAGTAAAAGGTTTAGGTTTATAAGTCAATGTTATCAGTGTACGAATATGAACCGAGAGAGAAATGGGGTTTAACGTCCACTCGACACAAACTAAGCCATTTCGGGACTTACATATGGTTTAATTTTATTTCAATAATTCGCTTGTGCCTAAGGGTCTGTAGCAGTGGGAGGAAACCGGAGGACCCTGAAAAAACCCATGAGATTGGACAGGCGACCCTACTCCTTGTCACGTACAACCGGGGATTCGAAAACCACGCCAGTTGACTCAATGACAGGCTTTACGATACAGCGCGCACGTGCTAACCATTCGGCCATCCACCCCCCACCCCCCCAAGAATATGAACTAACGATGGTGGCGTAATACGACATCATATAACGACCTGGGGTTTTTCCGTAAGATACACCACAGGGGACAGTGATTAATAGAACAGATATTATCAAAATACTTAATATTAGTCACCTCGAACGTTAAAGATACATTCCCAGGAAATTTATCGGGTAATTATTTCCAATAACCTTATGACAAATTTGGTATAGAAAGTACAGACACTCAATCTTGCTAGAAAATTACTGGATTTCCCTGAAAAACACCAAGACCAAAATGTGTGAGTATCCCGTTAAATAAGCCTGCCTGTCTTTTCGATCGAATTTGGGGTGGTTGTGAGATAAAATGAGCGAACTAAATGCCCAGTAGACGTGAGAATAATTAGAGAAATAAACGCCCAGTAGACTCTGTGATTAAACGGCGGAAAAAGAAGTCTATGTTTCGGATGTTATCTAATTGTTTTACGGCTTGATCCAAGCTAAAAGTGTTCTCAACTTGATTATTTACGATTTAATTAAGAAAAAAATCAAAATATCATCGGTGAAAAATATAGGTGGTTCTGGCTTGATTGGCTTTATCCCGTTAATATCGCCTGCAGTAGATGCCAAAGACTGACAAATGTTCAATTCATCATATCTTTGTAAATAGTGAACGGAATTGAACGCATGTCGATTGACGTCCTTAGAAATTCAACTTTCACAATAGTGTAGTTAGCAAGACGTCACTTCCGCTGCAGACAAAAATAGAAAGGTGGATATGAAGAATTGAAGCCTAAAAATACTGATCACACGGATGTTGCTTCATGCAAAGCAATCAATAAATAAAACTAGGAATTTGAACCTAAGAAAATAACCTAGAAATCATACATTAATTTGCTCAAATTCTGATCAACTGCGAACCATACCCTATTATAGGAATATTTTCAAACTTTAGCATCACAAAATGGTAATAAAGTCAAATTTTAGACCCCGTCTCTGACTACTGAAATGATTACGGTGATAAGAGAGTAATGCGGTTTGAAGTCAACACAATTTCCGCTTTATCATAAAGTCTGTCATTGAGTCGACTGGCGTGGTTTCGAATTCCCGGTTGTACGTGACAAGGAGTAGGGTCGCCTGTCCAACCTCGTGGGTTTTCTCCGGGTCCTCCGGTTTCCTCCCACTGCTAAAGACCCCTACGCGCAAGCGAATTATTGAAATAAAATTAAACCATATGTTAGTCCCGAAATGACCTAGTTTGTGTCGAGTGGACGTTAAACCCCACTTCTCTCTCCCTCTCTCTCTCTCAACACAATTTCCCGATCATTTTGAAACGTGTTTACGTACACGTCAATATTTCAATTATTTTCCCTTCATTTTGTCTGCAGTTTAATCAAATTTACTAAAATAGACCGAAATTATAACTATAATATATTGTCTATACAAATTAGATAGTATGTCAAGTTCGAGACAAGTCTGCGGAGCATAGCTGAGTTGTAAGGATTTAACTCAATTTACAAATTTCTTTACTAATTAGTTTATTGAGTTTAAAGGCTCAATACCACTCTTGTTGTAACTGAATAGTATGTCCCAATCTTTATTCTGGTCAACAAATTGTACTATTTTACAATATTCCAGTTAATTGATGATACAAATTTCATCTTAACACACCTAATTTAAACAATTGGAAAAATTCAACTAAATGATTTGAAAAGCCTAACGTAAAGCTTTTCAAATGTGACTTGGATTTAAAAACATTTTCGAACACTCTGGACAAGTAAAATAGGATTTAATGGATAATTTACACAACAGGTAGGATACTTAAACATCTAATACTTAGAATAAGGCTATTATTTATTTTCTGGAGCTGTCAAGCCAGCAAGAGTGTTATTGTCCCTTTAATACAATAATATTCAAACTTACAATTTTTTGGCGACAATAGTAATGTCTCTTAAGGAATTAGTAACGAGATTTAATATAATGAATTCAGTATAGTGCGTATGAATAATATTATTTATTTTGATTATTCCCCTTGTATATAACCTAGCTTACTTTATAATGGATATTCCCTCGCTGTTTATCACACGATATATAGATAATACCTTTAAAGTTTGCATGATCACAATAAATTTTATTTGGCCATAATTACTTGCATACTGTTGTCACTATAGACCGCCCATAGTTTCGCATTTTTATCATATTTATTTCAACAGCGGTAATTATTGAAGGTAATATTTATACATGCATACATTTTAGTAAATATCCCCGGTTGTACGTGACAAGGAGTAGGGTTGCCTGTCAAACCTCGTGGGTTGTTTTTTCGGGTCCTCCGGTTTCCTCCCACTGCTAAAGACCCCTACGTGCAAGCGAATTATTAGTCCCGAAGTGACCTAGTCTGTGCCGAGTGGACGTTAACACCCCCCCCCCCTCTCTCTCTCTCTCTCTCTCTCTCTCTTTAGTAAATATATGTACCGTTAATTTATGTTTAAATTTTAGGCTGGAATCTATATCTTTCAATTAGTAGACTGGTACATGGCAGCTATAACACTTATTTTAATAACTATACTAGAAAGTATTGTTATTGGTTGGATGTATGGTAAGTAAAAAATAACCGTTAGACATTCCCAATGGGCAATTTCTAACCGAATTATTTGGGAGGACGATAATCATAAAAACTTTTGTAGAGTTCCTGTCCCATCTATCATCTATTTTTAAATGAATCGCTATAGTTGATGGTTAGGGTTGTGGGGCTTTTTTGGGGTGGGGGGGGGATTAGGTAATTGTTTTAACACATTCTCGCTGGTGACATTTCTAATTTTATTTTTCAGGCGCTGATCGCTATTTAGATGACCTTCAAATGATGTTGGGAAAGCGGCCGTCCATACTTTTTAAATATCTCTGGCGTTTTTTAAATCCACTTATATTAATCGTACGTTACTTCACTATATATTTTTAGCCCAACCACGAACTGGCTAATATCATACCCCTTGCCCGTTTTTGAAATCCAGTTATATTAAGTGTACGTTACTTTACTAGTCATCGAACGGACTAATATCATACCCCTTGCCCGTCGCCTGGCTACGTGCACATTGACGTGTGCGTAAATGAGGCCAAATCACAATTCCATGTATAGTGCACGTACTGCATAGCGTAAGACCGTCTACATTAGCTTGGTTGGTGCAGACAAGAAGGACTTTAAACCCGATTCATTTTCTCGTATGAGTGTTGGCTTTTTTAAAAGTTGCTTGGCCATTGTTTTCAGAGGTAATAGAACTATTTTGATAGCGACTGTTGGGCGATTACGACCCCTTTGGGCTCTTGTTTAAAACATTATATATGTCTTTGACAATAGAGATTGTACTTGTATAAAATCAACTGACGAATATGTATAAATTATTGTTACACATTATATCACGCGAATCCACGTTCTGTGTCTGATCCACTGACATCTCTTAATTGGTTTGCTGTTTTACAATTTTATATTTTATATGCTAAAATGTGTTTTGTTTGTCAAATATGTAAAGTAATTATATTTGAATTGATTTCAGTTGGTTCTGATTTCTACATTAGTTAGATATCAACCACCTACCTATGGAGAATATGTATTTCCACCATACGCTAGTGGTATTGGTTGGGTCATAGCTCTATCCTCTGCTGTACCCATACCAATATGGATTGGAAAAGAGATTATGCAACGGAAAGGTACCTTAGCTCAGGTAGGCATGTAATATTTAATTCTAACACAGACTTGTTGGGATTGTATGTCTAGATCTGACGTGGAGACGTTCAGCGAGGTTTTATTTGCGGGTTATTGCCCCTGTCTTCGAAACCTGCTAAACTGTGTATAATGACAGAATATTTCTGGGGTTTTCTTTTTTTGGGGGGGGGGGGGTTAATTTACTAGACTTGTTTATTTAATCCTAAGGCTAAACACTAACACTAACTAAACACTTAAAATGCGATGTAAATATTGCTAGGCGTATCTTTATTGCCTAACAACGCTATGTTTTGAAATTTTAATTATATTATTGGACCATCTGTGTTGTTAACACCTTAACTTAGTGGCTAATCTTTTTGTCATACATATATATTTGTACATTTTCAGAAGATTAAAGCATCTTTTAAACCTAATGCAAACTGGGGTCCTGCTAAAGATTACAAGTTGGCTTATGAATCATCAGAAACAGAGATGTAATGGTATAAACAAAAACAATGCTCACATAATCAAAGGGATATAAACATATCATATTCATAAAATTAACAGGACATCAATGAGCCATTTTGTTAATCTGACATTTTGTTAATTTGTTAATTCCGTGGGATACTAGATTATTTTTGTTTAGGTAGACGCATTTTATTAATACATGTAATATGGATATTATATTTCCAATCAATCATAAATCCTTAGTTAGACAGAGGAGGGTCAGTGGGTGGTAGAATGATCTAAACATCCGCTTTAGATCATACGATCTGTCACACGATCATACGGTCAGGTGGTATGGTTTAGATCCCAAGTGGCGTGGTTTGTGCTTGGCAAGGAATATTGTCACATGCTTTATCTCGTGGGTTTTCTACGAGTTCTCTGTTTTCCTACCATATGTTAGTCCCATAAGGAAATAGTTTATTTTCGAGTAGATGTTAAACCCCATTTCTCTTTCTCTTGTTTTTTATTTAGATAAAATTATAGCTATGCATTTATAACTAGTGGATAAAATTATAGCTATGCATTTATAACTAGTGGATAAAATTTATAAGCTTTTACACATTTTTTGTATAATACATTAATGTTATGGTTTATATTGTTTTAATTTTGAATTTAAATGTCTAAACATTATATATTTTTACATTCATCATAAATGTATGATGGAGACAAATTCCTCGAACTTGCTATGTTAATTTGTTTTGGCAATATGTATTCAAAATACTGGCTCAGAACTATTAATGTGTATCTAGAGAAAAAAATACTAACATATTTATTTCAGTTGTACTTTGTATTCACTTATTACAATGTATCTAGTAAAAATGTACCTTGTATTCACTTTAAAATAATTGAAATGTATCTAGAAAAAAATATACCCATACATTTTTCAGTTGTATTTTGTATTCACTTTAAAATCATTACAATTTATCTAGAAAAATATACTAATATATTTTTTCAGTTGTACATTGTTTGTATTCACTTCAAAAATATTACAATACATCCAGAAAAAAAAATCTAATTATTTTTTCTGTTGTACCTTGTATTCACTTTAAAAATATTAGAATATATCTAGAAAAAAAATACTAATATTACTAATATATTTTTCAGTTGTACCTTGTATTCACTTATTACAATGTATCTAGAAAACAATTATTAAATTATTTTTTTCATTGTACTTTGTATTCAGTGTATTTATAAAACGATAGCCACTTACAATGTGGAAATACACCCGCAAAGGGGCTCTTACATAAATGTTAACTAAATTTGATAAGGAACAACTTTAAGAGATTTGATCTCTGATTTCTGGACACATACTATCTCTGAAACGTAAAGTCCTGAAATGCTTAAAATCAACAGGTTCATCCCTTCTCTTATCCCAATGCATCACAACCATATCTGGTGGAATGTAGACATGTGTACACGGGAGTGAGGGTGGGGGGCATTCACCGAAATATCGCCGAACAAACAAACGTGCTAATCATTTTAGCCGTTTTTGGCTTCTAATCCTTCATAACAACTCTGTCATTTTGATGAAAATGATAAACTAATACTAAATAATAAATAGTTCCGATCAGGCCTGAAAAAGATACGATGCCAGGATACTTACACCATGCACAGTTTTAGCTGCACACTATGGCGAAAATCATAAAAAAAAACACCCCCAAAAAACAAACAAAACTTTAGAAAACAAAACGTGTCTGAAACATGTAATGAGATTCTGAATATTCGACTTATTTCAATATTTAGAATTCAGACAAATACACAACAATAGCAGGCACTGATTTATCATTAGCCAATCATGTAAATTTTGGAGGAAATGCTATGCAGGTTGTCCTGGGAAGTATTACAGCACGAAATTGGTATCCCTTTCCCCATTTGCATGGTGATCTTTGTTGACCTTTTGGTGTAGAATCGAAGAAAAGGGTTTGAATATGTGGGGCGGAAAGTTGGATGTTTACTTGTCAGTGTCACTCCTTCCAGCTTGTGTATGATAAACCTCATATGTGCTTTTGAGCATGCGGGTTACACGTGTTTCCCCATATGTGGTGTGGTAAAAGGTGTTCTACCTCGTCTAAGGGACGAGAATTGTCAATGGGGAAATCATATCATTGGTGATCTGTGGCCATACATATCGGTGCATTTCCCATTTAAGGTGTACCATATGCTCCAAGGGGATGGGGGCGTATATCTTTAGCAAATAAAAACAGACAGATTCTGCTGTTTCTGGCGATAGAAAAGGCAAATAGATACCAACTTACCAGAAAGCATGAGAGTGGAAACACAGTTCCAGTAAAACTTAAACTAAACATCACACGGGAGATAACTACATGTTGAAGCCATAGCAGTGTAACATATAGTCTCATTGCTCATTGCTTTCAATGTTAAATGGCTGTAACATCACAGACTGTAGCTTATTGCTCAACTCTCCGTTAGGTTTTGTAGGGATTGACGGCTTAGACCTTTTGCTAGCTCTGCACATAGACACTTTACACCCCCTCTCCCTCCGCTATAATATAATCAGTATTACCCAAAACTGCTATGAAATTGCAAATTTGATGATCTTTTTTCTCTAATTCTAGACCAATAACGTCAACAAAAAATACAGCAAAAGGATGGGGGTAGAATAATTAAGGAAAAATGGTTAATTTAAAACTGGAAATAATTACTAGTCCATATACATATATACACCTCAAGGGAGTCAATTACAACTGTACAATAAACCAATACCTTTTACATACCATATCTACAAATCAGTTGGGATACAAAACGATGTATTCAGATACAAATGGATATAATGCCCCCAACATCATTATGTACATGCAATATAGGTACATGTATAAATGATCGAAAAATAATACAGCCTCTCTACGCTCGGCAGTTGTAGCCTTTATTGTCAACAATTAAACACAGCAAATACCTGCTTATTATTTCTTTGGATCCAGTGCATCTAAATAAATGTTAATATTTTAAAGCGATAATTTCATATTTTCTAAGAAAGTCAAAACATAATTATTTCTATGTCTTTTGCTCAATAGGTTGTCAACTCACTATTATACGATCAAACGTATTATTCTCCCACTTAAAAATCCTTTGACCCCGGTAATAACACAATTACCTCCCTTGTTTTTCTATTACCGCCCCCCCCCCCCCCCATGGAATAGCTATCTTCAAACGTTTGAATTTGAAGTTAAAAATGATATTTTGCCAATTTCTCAACTGGCAATAGTGAATTATAGGATTAATAGGATTATTCTTTAACAAAGTAGGACTGTTTATAGATACCATATATTGTAAGGTTTTATTTTAATACATTTTAAAAATATAACTTAAAAATATGAAATTGAAACTTTAAATGAGAGAATAAAGTCTAAATTTGACGAAAGCTATGGAGCACTTTGTCACATCGTGTATACATTGGTGTTCACGTAAAAGATAATTACAATTCGACAGACCGTAGTGCCGCTGTCATAGCAAACTGTATGTCTTCATTAGCCCAGCTGGTGTAGAACAACCCCATTTCATTTAATTTCATTTAATGAAGATAGTAACTATGTTTGAATTTAACAAAATCTGAACTGCCTTCTTGTAACTTTACAGTGCGATCTGTCAGTATACGTGCAACAGGAGCGCACTACATGCGAACAAATATTATAGCACAAATCTGCAGACAGGAAGCAAACTACACAGACATTACATGAAACAAATTATTATCAAATCAAGTAATTTGACCCGCTGGCCACCAGTGAGCGTCCACTGTGCTGTACAGTCCCGAGCCTCTAGTGATACAGAATTCATTCAAAATATCAACCGCTCTTAACACACTCTGTTATTTTAAGGTCCCAGAAAATAGAGCTATACACCCTTTAATAGAAAATACAGGAGGATCGCACTACGCGCAAACTAATCTGAAAAGCCAAACTGCGGACATTGCAAACAATAACCGACAAATAAATCAAATTACAGACTTGGTATAGCGGAGTGGCTAGTTATCAGGTTGTCCGGTACTTCGGTATAAATACACAACAAAAACAAAACCATACGCGTATACTAGATATAAAAAATTATGTAGGGTTTGTTGAATAATACTCTTGCAGACATAGAGGGAGAGAAATGGGGTTTAACGTCCACTCGACATATGGTTTGATTTTATTTCAATAATTCGCTTGGGCGTAGGGGTCTTTCGAAGTGGGAGGAAACCGGAGAACCCGGAAAAAACCCACGAGGTTGGACAGGCGACCCTACTCCTTGTCACGTACAGCCGGGGATTCGAAACCACGCCAGTTGACTCAATGACAGGTCTTATGGTACAGTGCACACCCCCTCCCCCTCCCTGCAACGCAATAACTCAATTTGGAGCCATTACAAAACAGGACACGAAGTAGGTGCGTAACCGATGTGGTTTCACTCGAATATCTAAAACTGAGTACCATGTCACACTGCCACACCGGGGCTGTCCAGGATTGTCATGTTGTTATTCTAAAAGTAGTACTCTTAGGATTTGCAATTGTTATTGCATGAGGTACTACTGCACTAATAATTCCACACATTATATATATATGTACATTTGTTTGTCATTCTGAATTATTTCATCATAACAAAGTTGCTAAATATACTCAGTTTTACGTGACTATAAATAATCTAGATATGCATTATACTACATTGTACTTAAACTGGACCTGACTGGATTCGTTAACCTCGAATTAAAGAGAGAGAGAGAGAGAGAGAGAGGTGGGGGTGAGGCTAACGTCCACTTGATACAAACAAGGTCATTTAAGGACTAATAGAAAGCTTATTGATATGGAGGAACCACACAAAACATCTCAGCCCAGTCATAAATCAATTTTCCAGGAAGTAATTTCTGGCTGCCACTTAAAGCAAAGTATTGGACTTGTCTCACTAATAAAAATATCACGCTTCAATTTGAAATGTTTACGTTGTTTTATAGTTTTAAACGGTGCTTTTATTTTAATGGAAATTGATAATAGAAAATGTACATTTTTCATTTTATCAAATTTATCTTCTGCTTTCGAACGGTGGACCCTTCCATTCTTCTACGTAGACATCAATTTAAATTCGGTATTTATGGCGGCTCTGCATTGAATCTTTTAGAAAGCTATCTTGTGGGTAGAAAACAGTGTATTTGTAAATCGTCCGCTGAATCTATTTTGTCATCTGGGGTTCCTCAAGGTTCTGTTCTTGGTCCGATATTATTTACCCTCTATACATCACCATTAGGTGATATTGTCAGATAATATGACCTCAGCTTTCATTTGTATGCCGATAATACTCACTTGTATATTTCAGTTACACCTAATTTTCCATGATCTTCTTTCAATTTATCAAAATTGCAACTTGAGAACTGTATTAGTGAAATTAGAAAATGGATGCCAAAAACTTTCTAAAATTGAATGATGATAAAACCGAATATTTGTTATTAGGCTCAAGGCATCAATTAAGTAAATTTGCACATGATAACCCCTTGTTGTAATTGGTAATTGTGATGTATTTTCATCTTATTCTGCTCGTAATATTGGCGTAATCTTTGATAGTTTTATGCTTATGGGTGCTCAAGTAAATAATATATTTGTAAATTGTGCTATTTTAATATCAGAAATATAGGTAAAAACGTATATTTTAACTGTAGAGACCACAAAGTCACTTGATAATTATCTGGTCACTTCTCGATTAGGTAACTTTAATTCACTTTTAGTTGGTTTACCTTTAAGGCTTATAGATAAATTACAAAAAGTACAGAATACTGCAGCTATACTTGTTACTTTAACTAAGAAATGTGACCACATAACTCCTGTTTTATATAATTTACACTGGTTACCTGTTAAATATCGAATTGATTTTAAGATTATA